CAGAATCAGGCGCGACCAGGAACGCCCTTCGCTCCCATGAATTGAACCCACCGGTGGAAATCTGGAGTCACTCCATTCACCCTAAGACCAATGTCTGGGAGAGCAGGAATTGGCCCTCTAGTCGCCCCACTTTTAAGGGGGGGAAGAACCAGCCGGTCTGCTAGGCAGGTGCCCTTGCCCATAGCATCCTAGAGACACACCTCAACCTGGACTTGAGGGAGCGCCCTCTGGTGTGCTGAGCGTAGAGTGGCAGCTCCTGGCATCTCACGCGTCCCACCCTGTAGCATCCAAGAGGCCGGGCAGAGGAGTGTCAGGACCAAGGGATCTCTCAGTCTCCGGATGACTCTGCCATCTCCCCAGGGATGCCTGGCCAGCTGTTTAAGCTCAGCTTGGCCAAGACAGAGCTCTGGATCTTCCCCCCTCAAACTCTCCCTCTTCTCAGGCCTTGCAGACACCTGCCCTGCCTGTCGCTCAGGCCTGTAACCTGGGCATCACCTTCGCCTTGGCCCCGTGTCTAGGTCCGTCCAGGCCGCGCCTGAAGCCCACTGAGAGCTGGCTTTCCTCGCCATCCACAGAGGCTCATCTAGCATCCGGATCACTGCCCCTTCCTCCCTGGCCCCCTCCTGCTCCACGTGCATCCCTCCAGTTCACTGCTGCAAAGATCTTCCTCCCGGCCCGTCGCCCCTGGCTCCCTCTGCTCCAGCACACCCAACACAAGCTGCCAAGGCCCTTCACGGCCAATCCCCACCTGACATATCACCACTGTCGAGATCTCGGCGGGCCAGGATGCCAGTTTCTATCGCCCACCCATTAGATCTGCAAACAACACCCTCCCCATGCGGAGAAGCCCCCACCCCCACCCCGCCGAGTCAGCTGGAAAATGTTCAACAAAACCTTCGGCTGAGGAAAAGCCGGGCTTGGAACTGGGTGCTCTGATGTCGCAGGCACGTGCCCGAATCACTGGGCCGCTGGCCATCCAGGGGCTGGGCTTTCCCTCACCGGCTTTTTGACAGGCTTGGGTTCATGCTACCTTGGAATGAAACCATTTCCCAAACCTCTCCGGTTTTCGCAAAATGGAGCTGTTCTTTTCTGGCCAGCCCTTCCGTCAAACTCTTCTCTGCCATGACACCTTGACACTGGCTAGGAAACCGGGGACCTCTGCCCACCCGGCTGACCAGCACTGTCACTTTCTGCTCCCCCGCCTGTCAGTCTGCCCCCCGCCCCTTGTCTCATGCCCAGATTGTGAGCTCTTCGTCTTTTTGCTCTGTGTCTGGAGAGCGCTTAGCACAATGGGGCCCTTCCTGGGGCTGCTCAAAGCTACCCCGAACCAATCGACCATCAATGATAGCACTGATCTCTGTGTGCGTATCACGTTCGACGGGGCTCACTGCTGTTTATCTACAAACAGTCTAGTGCCCCATGGGACCCAGAGTCTGTGAGACAAACAGATTCTGCCCTCAAATGCAGCCAGCTCTGGGGTGGAGGGCAGCAGCCAAGTAGACAATAAACTGCAGGGGAGGATGCTTTGGGGAAGTGCTCAGGGGTCTGCGAGGAGCAGGCAGGGTCTTCGATTTTAATATTTCATAGGAAAGATCCACACGCAATAATGTCATAGGTGCTCAGTAGCCAAGTGGCTTGACACACTAGCCCTTTGTCTCTGCAGAGTTGGCTCCATAGAAGAGCTAAGGGCCATATGACATGAGCTGGGTTCTCGGCTCCAAAGCCCTTCTGGCAATGTCACAAAACCATAGAGTGACACAGGACTGCAACAGTAGAGGGTGGGCTCTGGGTCAGGATAGAAGGGCATTGGCAGAGCATGGAGGTGGGGTGGGATTGGAGGGTTTGAAGGACATTGGTAGGGTTCTGTATCTATTTTACCTTCCACAGTCCTTGACTGATCCCTGAGTTTTATTAGTTTTACCCCAGTGAATAGCTATGGGAAGAGGGAGAAAGAGAGAGAAATCAGCAGCCCTGTTAGGTCCCTTCTCCCCACCCAATGCAGGTTTCTCTCCTCATTGACACTATGGGTTAATTTCCTTTTTGCCAAGCTGCTCCCCAGGACCAGTGGCCGGGGGAGCTGTTCGTGCCGGGTTAACTGGGCCTTCGATGCAGCTGGAAGACAGGAGAGAGGCAGCTGGAACCAGCTCTACCGATTCCTCAGGATCCTTTCTCAGGGGCCAAGAGCATTTTGAGCCGGCAAAAGGGGCCAGGTTCATGGTCCTGGCTCCCAAGACGCTAAAGATGCCCCCCAGCAACCCAAAATTGGGGACACACGAGCCAGCTGCCTCCCATCTGGGACGAAAGGGGAAGCAGGGCCATGAGGCTTGGCAGTGTGTCCTTGTACGTCGTCCACCCTGCACCCCACCCCACCTCCTCACAGGCCCTGATGCAGCAAGAGCCCTGACCTGGGGCACAGGGCCTGATCCCCACCAGCCGGACTCGGTGGCCGTCCCCGACCCTGGAGGATGAAGAGGCTTCGGAGGTCTGGGCCAGACCGGATTCTGAGCCACTGACCTCGAGGGATCCTTGCTAGTGTCGAGGGGCTGAGAACCTGGCCCCGGGCTGACCACGAGGCCCTGCCAGCCCATGCTGGGGTGGGCAAAGGGCAGGCCGGGGGGAGCCATCTGTCTGTTCTCAGCAGCCATGTTTACACAGAAGGTTTTGCAGGGCGGGTGTCTGGGATTTGCCAAGGGGGGACTGGAGAGCACACACTCTCCCACCCGACCGGCCAGGGGGAGAAGGGGGGTCTGGGAGCCGCTCCCGTCTGCCTGTCTGAGTTTGGATCAGCTCCGGTGGCCATAAATCGGCAGGCGAGACGGTGGGAGGAGAGCGGGTGTCGCAGGGGGGCCTCGGGGGCAGTTTTATGGCCATTCCATCGGTGTTAAAGGGCAAGACCCTTAATGAAAAGCCTCGGCATCCGTCTCCGTGCTCCCACCCCCTGTGCTTAGCAGGGCCATTTGGCCCATGGATTTATGTCCCCACCTACCTGGATCTCATCCCTTCTCCCCTGAGACGTGGGGAGACCTTGATCCCATCTCTCGCTCTCTCTGTGACTTGAGCTTTCAGGCCAGGCCTGTGGTTCAGATCCTGGCCCTGATTATGTCACAGGGAGCCCCATGACCCCTATGACTCCCTCTGGGGAGGGGGATGCTCACAGGGGCTGCCGGATACTGTCACAGCCGAAGGACGTGGGGCCCGGTTCTGATCTCACTGGTGCAGCTTCGGCGCCAAAGTGGATCTGGACAGGGTCAGATCCCCAGCTGGGGTAAATCAATGGAGCTTTCTGTCCCATGGACATGCCTGATTTGCACTGGTGGGGGAGCAGCAGGCTCAGGGCCATGAATATCCCATGGTGGTTTTGACAGAATTTGCTTCCTCGGACGCTTCTCAAAGAGATTCTGACTGCGCTGTCTCCCGGTAGAGACCCCGGGAATCAGACTCCCCGGCGGCGGCGGCTGGCTTCGTTCTCGGGCAGCCCCACTCGAAGAGCGACACTTGTCTGTCCAGGGGCTGGACACAGCCTCGCGGGACCCTTTGTGATACCCACACCCACTGTGGTGCTCTGTCCCCCTCTAGTGGTGGCTAGGCCTACTTACAGGTTTACCAGCGTGCTTCCTGCAGAGGTGGGTCTTATAGCTCAGGTTGAAGCGGTGTCTTGTCTGGGAACCAGAGCACTTGGGTTTGATTCCCCCAGCCAACCCTGCACCCCATGGGTGTGTAATTTGCATCCAGCCTAGACTCCCCAATGCCCTGCCATCCCCAACCCACACACCATATGCCTCTGTCCATCCTGCTGGAACCCCATCAAGCCAGCGACCCCCTGGACCTGCCAGTGGTAGAGAGATTGTATGTGAAGGGAGGAGCTTCTGGAAAGAGGCCACTATGTCCCCCCACAAGGGAAGGGGGAACCCCAAGATGCCCTGACATTGTTCCCTGCCTATCCCTGCTGCTGTGTTGGTCATTTATGGGGAATTCCAAACAAGGCAGGACATTTTATCCGCGTGTGTGTTTATTTTGCCTGGCCCTGTGTGAGCCACCACTTTAAGCCAGCGTTTCCCATTGACCATAGGAAAATATACCTAGGGGAGAGCGGGATTCCAGCCGGGGCGGGCGGGCGGATGCACAGGGAGAGCTGTTGTGTTGCTGTGGAGGGTTAATAACATTTGGTGTTTCTGTGGCACATTCCACCCACAGCTAGAGTCGGGCAAATAACGGGTTTTTCCATTCACTGGCGGTTTTGATAAATTGGGGGAAGGATCGGAAAAACAACCCTGAAATTTCAGGCATTTTTTACTTTTTTTTTTAATAAAAGCAAAAAAATCAAAAACCAACGAAGAGCTAGATTTACAAAAGCCAAGGAGGAGAAGGTGCCATCGCCACCCAGGCGCTCAGCTGGGCTGTAGGAGACCCAAGTTCTAATCCCCATTCCGTAGCAGGGATTTGAACATGGATCTCCCACCCCACCCCTTAGCAGGAGCCCAGGTGGTTTAGTGTCTTGTTCCCTTTAAGAGCAACTGGAGCAGCCTGCTGGTCAGTGCCACTTGGAGGCACTCGGGGTAGGAGCCGGGCTTTCTGCCTTGGAGGGCCTAGCTTTGAACCCTGCTGATCAGTGTATGGCCCAGCTGGGAGCAGAACCCAGGAATCCTGAGTTAGGGTTGCCAGACGTCCGGTTTTCGACCAGAATGCCTGGTTGAAAAGGGACCCTGGCGGCTCCGGTCAGCACTGCTGACTGGGCCGTTAAAAGTCCGGTCAATGGTGCTGCGGGGCTAAGGCAGGCTCTCTGCCTGCCCTGGCTCTGCATGCCTCCCAAAAGCAGCCAGCATGTCCCTGCGGCCCCTAGGCACAAGTGCAATCAGGGAAGCTCCGCATGCTGCCCCCGTCCTGAGCTCTGGCTCTGTAGCTCCCATCGGCTGGGAACCGTGGCCAATGGGAACTGAGGGGGCAGTGCCTGTGGGCAGCGCACACCACACAGAACCACCTGGCTGCCCCTGCACTTAGGAGTTTCTGGGAGCATGCCGGCACTTCCGGGAGCCGTGCAGAGCCAGAGCAGACAGGGAGTCTGACTTAACCACGCTGCACCGCCGACCAGGAGCCACCTGAGGTAAGCACCGCCTGGCTGGAGCCCGAATCCCAAACCCCCTGCCTCAGGTCAGAACCCCCTCTCACACCCTAACTCCCCCCAGACCCTGCACCCCGCACCCCCACCCACACGCCAGCTCCCTGCCCCAGCCCTGAGCTCCCTCCCACACCCTAACTCCCCCCAGACCCTGCACCCCGCACCCCCACCCACACGCCAACTCCCTGCCCCAGCCCTGAGCCCCCTCCCACACCCTGAACTCCCTCCTGCACCCCAACTCCCTGCCCCAGGTCGGAACCCCCTCCCACACCCTAACTCCCATCCAGAGCCCGCACCCCTTGCCCGAGCCCTGAGCCCCCTCCCAGAGCCCACACCCCCTCCTACACCCCAAACCCCTGCCCCAGCCCAGTGAAAGTGAGTGAGAGTGGGGGAGAGGGGAGATGGAGTGAGTGGGGGCGGAGCCTCAGAGAAGGGCCTTGGGAATGGGCGGGGCAGGGGCGCGGGGCAAGGGTGTTCAGTTTTGTGCGATTAGAAAGTTGGCGACCCTATTCTGAGTGCTAGTACTATGCACCATGATCCACAGTGTTTCCTTTGGGGTTTTTTCCTCCCTCAAAGGAGGGGCTGTCAAATACCCTTCACCCCCCTGGGAGCTGTGCGGTGTGGCAGGATCAGGGTGTTCCAAGCCAGGGCTCCTAGGCGGGGCCTGAAGCCCCTTTCCCCACCTTGCCCCCAGGACCAGTCCCCGCAGCAGCATCTCTGGCAGAATTTTTGTCTCGGGGGGGGAGGGGTGGTGCTTTTCAGAGGCACAAAGGCTCCTCCAACCCCCCCAAATGTGGAGCACCGAAGTCCCGCAGCTGCCCTCAAGAAACCTCCCACCCAGTGCCTCACCCCTCGCTGCGCTCTGGGAAGGCAGGACACCGGAGTTTCCCTGGGGAGAGCGCTCCTGCCTCCCACCCTACAGAGCACCGGCTCTGCCCCCACCTCACCAGGGCCTGCCCGCACCTCCCCCAGCCCAGCTGCAGGCCTGAATGAAACCTGCACGCGGCCAATCCGTGGCCACGCCAGAGCTCACAGCACTGTGCGGGGACGGGCTGCAGCTGAGCAGTGCCAGGGGCTACACGCACCCCGGCCCTGTGCTGTAACTCCTAACCCCCTCCACGCTAGCCACCTGCCGGAGCCACAGCTAGTAACCGTGACAGCACATGGCCCCTGCCAGAGACAGCTGACTGAGCAGACAGGACCAGCCAATAGAGCCAGCAGAACTGGCTTGACCAGTCCCCTCCTCCTCCCAGCATCCTGTGCTTCGGGATGCCCCAGCATGCATTGCTCCATTCCCCTATGCCATGTTCCCCTGCTGGTGCTGTCTGCACTATGGGGTAGCTACTTGCATTTTCCCAACATGCTTTGCAGCAGGCCAGTTTCCCCCACCCCTACTCAGCTCCCAGCGCAGCAAGATATCCCAGCATGCATTGCTCCATGGTACCTGTCCATGCCGCATCTCATATGGGGTAGCTGACTGGATTTTCCCAGCATGCACTGGGGCAGGCAGCAGATACTCAGCTCAGAATCACCAGCAGAAGAGGGCGTCACAAGCAAGAACCAGTCGCTGCCCAACATCAGCGTCCCAGCAAGGAGCTCCTGACTGGGGGCAGGCTGTGGGGGCCTGGGGGGTGGACAAAAGGCACCTGCTGGGAAATAAGCAGAGGGTTCATTCTGGAGGCTGGGGGTGCAGGGATGGAGGGAGGTTGGCTTCACCCAATATTGGGATCCCCTCCTGCAGATTCTCATGAACAACCAGGGTACTGGGGACATTGTTGGTAACCAGGCACCCTGCAATGTCGCTGTGCTGGTCACCAGAGCAGGGTGCAGAACTCCTGGGTTCCCTCCCCAGCTCTGGGATGGGGGAGTCTAATGCAGGGAGTCAGGACACCTGGGTTCCCTTACCATCTTTGCAGTTGATTCACTGCCCAACGTCGGGCAAGTCCTTTCCTGTGAAGAACAAGAATACGATCCTAGCCCTCTCCAGGGACCAGGAGCCTTGGCTGACCCTTGGAGAGCTCAGGTGTGGCTGAGGGATGCTCTAAGATGGACCGTCGCTCTGGTCACCCCAGCTTTCCCCTCCACACAGAAGCAAGAGCCATCTTCTCTGCATCTGGGATGCAGTTTATAAGACAGCCGTCCCATGCAGCTGCCCCCGCTGGATTAATGACCCTAGGGCGACCAATCAGAGCCCATGGCTGGCACTGTGCTGCACCGCACAGCTGCTTGGAGCTTCCCAGCACTGGCAGGGATTCTCCCTGGTGTATTTAAATAAACGGAGAATCCCTGTTTTAGCAGTACGGGGGCTATGATGCATAGAGGCACTGCTGTGATTCTCTCCACGGTACTCTGGGCCAGCTCCTTTACGTCATTAGAGGCGAAAGGTGCTGTCAAATGATGAAATGCAAATTAATATTATTCTATTACTGATTAAGCAAGGTGTGTATTTTCCAGCCAAGGTGCCCAATCTCAAGCACTGCACTGCCCCCTAGTGCTCAGATGAAGGCACGGCACAGCCCCCCCCTCCCCCAGCTGTGTCTGTCACAGAATTGGGGTGAGTGGGGGGTGTCTCTGCTGCAGGGGGGCAAGCAGGGGGGCCCCTGCAGCCTGAGTGCAGAGTGGCTTGCTCCACCTGGAGCCAGAGGCGGGCGGAGGTGGGAAATGAACTGGATGCACCCAGGCCAAGGGCCTAATCTGGAGCTATTTTACAGCTCATAAATTGGAAGCAGCTCCGGTTCCCAAAGGGGGGGGCAAGGGGCCATGGGGGGCCAGGGGACACACACAGGCCTTTGGCAACTCACCAAAATATTTGAAGCTCATAAATTGCAGGGTGCTGACGCTGGTTCTTTGGCGAGCGGCGTGATGTGCGGTGGGGGTAACCCCTACCCCCCCCCCTGAGCCCCATCCTCCTCTGCAGCATGGCTCCCTCGCTCTTTGCTTCTCTCTCTTTCTAATCAAGTGGTGAATTGAAAAAAAGTTTAGGGAGGGCCCTGACTCCCCTGTGGCCAGGGACCATGGAGAGGTCCTGGGTGATAAGGGGGATGGGATTCAGCCCCCAAATGAGGGCTCTGCCTTTTGGAAAGTGCTTTCAAAAATAAAAATCAAGGTTTCTTGGGGGAGGGGGCTTTGTTTGTGTCAAGCAACTGGAAAATTTCAACTGAGTTGAGAGTTTGTCCCAACATTTTTCGGTTTGCTTGAACCGCTGGTTTTTTGGCCCGGCTCCGTCTCAAGGGAAAGCAATGCCAAGTCGGGGCCATTCAGTACCCAGCGGTGCCCCAGATGTCGCAGCCTTTAGCCGGGGCATGCGCCCTGGGACGCGAAACTGACCAGAAACAAAAGTAAAACTCACCTTCCCCCCACCACCCCGAACCAAATGAACCCCCATGTGCTGGCCGTGGCTCTCACTCTCCATGTGAGTTTGGGAGCCCAGCGCTGGCCCAGCTGGGAGTGGGGGGAGGGGAGTGAGGCTAGGTTTGCTTTTAAGCTGATGGTTTTGAACTGATTGTCTTGGGGGGGTGGCAGGGGAAGGCAATGCAAGCAGTGGAGAGAGACAACGCGGCCGTCTCTGAGCTTGGCAGGGGCACAACAGCGGGCTGAGCCGGTGCCCAGGGATTGGGCCCACGGCCTCAAGCGTGGCTGGATCCAGCCCAGTAACTACCACCCAAGCCAGACACCTGCCCCTGTGGCTGGGGGCGGAGGTCAGGGTGGGTCCAGGGAAGATCCGTCCCCACCAGCCCCTTGGATCCTCACTAGCCTTGCTCAGAGCCTCGGCTCCCCTGGGACATGGCACTTTTCCCTGGGGCATGTCCAGCTGCGAGCTGCTATTGAGAGGGCCTCTGAAGAAAGGGGGGACTTCCCCTTTAACAGCAACTGAGTGGGAGGGGGCTGGCGGATGAGACTGCAGGTGTGTGTCCCGTCCCCCGCACACACACACACACGCACTCCCCTCTGGGTGCAGGGAGCTGAGCAGAACACCTGGCTGTGGCTCAGGGCTTCCAGCTTGCATCACAGCGTCCTGCTCCCAGCCAAGGGCCCTGGCTCTGCAGTCATCCATCATCTCCCGTCAGCCCAGGAGGGGTGGGGAGGCTTTAACCCTTGGGACACCAAAGGCAAGGCATCAAGGCTGGGTGGGTTTTTTAATCACACACAGGGAAACTGAGGCACGAGGCCACACAGTGAGTCTGGCAGAGGACCCACTCTCGCCTCTAAACCAGACTGCCTCCAACCCTCCCCCTCCTCCAGGAGACCCCTCTCCCTGATGGGATCCCACCTCACTCCCCAATGGCGGCGAGCCCTCGCCCACCCTCTGGGAGATCACCCTCCCAGCCGAGCCCCAGAGCCCATCCCTGGCCCTAGAGGAGACAGGCTCCTTCTCCAATCAGTCGCCCCCGTGCTGCCCCTTTCCCCAAGCCAGCCAGACCCCCCTCCTGCCACAGAGGAGGGAGAGTTCAGGACTCATCTCACCGGCCCATGGAACCCAGCGAGGCCCCTCTCTCTGGTTGGAGGGTGGGGGGAGGCAGATGGAGGGGAAGTGGGTGGGGGAAGGGGTATCTCTCCAGCAAGCTTTGAAGAGCCACATGAAAGCCGCATCCTCGCAGCGCTTTGAACTGCGGCCAGGGCCCCCACAGTTCTCAGATGCAAACACTCTGGCTGCACCGATCACCAGGCGGCATTCGCTCATGGCTCAAGCATGCCGGGGCCGCAGGCTCTGCAGGTCTGGGCGCAGCAGTCCCCACCCCCGAGCTCGGCGAGGGGGCTCCCAGAGTGCCCCACAAACAAAGAGGGCGCAGACAGGGGTAAATACCAGCGGGAGCCTTCTGCATTTCCCCGCCAGCGGAGGGGTTCAAAGCCCTGGGCAAAGGTGGGGGAGAATCCATAGCCTGCTTTGCAGAGCTGGGAATGGAGCCCAGGCCACCTGATTCCCACCCCCCGCGCCACCACTCTAACCACTCTCCCCACCTCCCAGCCAGAGCTGGGAATGGACC